TTGAAAATTTTTAAATTTCATATTTAATCCTGAAATTGAAATAAAAGTTAAATATCAGATTTTAGTTTAAAATTTGTTAATTAAAAAATTCGCAACCCTGCTTCCAACGCCGTCAAACAGTCGCCAACTAAGCTTATAACTTTATTTAAATTAAACATACATGTATTAATGTTTATTAATTATATTTATTTATTTGTTTTTATTTTATTGTTGTATTTTGTTTTTCAATTGTATTTAGAAATAAAATTAAACATGACCGTTAGACTTAACGACTTAAATGATGTTTACATGTAGCATATATGTATATAGTATGTACATACATTTACATAAATAATAATAATTATAAGAATAATATTTATTAATAATCATAATAAAAACGGCATACTAATATATTTTTATTAATTAGTTTAATTGCATTTAATTATTTGTTTAACGTATAAAGAACGACATACACATGATAAATGAAACTGGAAAAAAAACTTACCGCGACGTGAAATCTCCCTGTTTGTTTGTTTCTTCTTCTTTACTATTTAGTATATATATATATTTCCATATTTTGCTTAGTTAGTAATTAAATTTAAACTCCTGCTGCTATATTTTCTTTCTTTCCAATGCGCTTTGCTGTTATGCTTCAAACGCAGCGAAAATATTACTTTTGTTCTGTAACTTTTGCTAAATTCACTTGAAATGCTAAAACAAAATGTTGCGAAAATTGCAAATCAATATTTTGCTTCACCATAACGTCAAATCTTGTTTACGCACGGACGCCAAATCACACTATTTTACTGCTTACAGCCAAACATTTGACTGTTTTATATTTTAAACTTTAAATAGCTGCAAGGCATAATGGCGAAATGCGTGCAAACACAACGATAAAATAGGCAAAACTGCGGCTATACACGTTAGCTTGTGTTTGCAATGCCGAAATTGAAGTTTGACAAGCATGCACAGTTTTGTTTAGTTTTGTATGTGTTGCTTGTTGTCATTGCATGGTGTTGCCAAACATGCTGGTAGTTTAGCTTTTGAAGCGCATTTGATTGATTGCATTTTGTTTTTGTTTTTCTTATGCTTTTACTTAGAGTTATGTTTGTTTATGTTGTTAGTTTTTGTTTTGCTTTGTTTTTCTTATGTGTGTTTTAATTATATTTGTAAATTGTTTGCTGTTGATTTTAGCTAATAAAGTTTTTTTTAGTTGAATCTGCTTGCAGTTATACAGTTATGAGTTATTTTTTGCTTACAGTAGTGCAAAGTGCGACAAAATCGTTCTTGATTTTCGGTTTCGTACGCGCGTTTGCTTGCTGACGCGCTTTATTTAACTACACTGTTCCATGTATGCTTATTTCTTGCAGTTTTTTGTGTGATTTAAGTTATTTTTTTTTTTTTTAAATAATTCTTACTTTTTGATTACATTTCCTTTTACTACTAACTGTTAACGGTTGCTGCTGTTTTGCTATGTACTTAAACTGCTGCAACTGCTTGGATTCTTATAGCATGCGCTACTTATGATATTTATATGCGCCTTAACTAGCCCCTACTCGTTTTCAATCAGCATCAGTGACATTTTTAGTCTTCAACTATACAACTCAAATTTGTGATCTTTTATTTAGATTATTATTATTTATGCTAAATTTTTTCTTTATTATTTTTTATGTTTTGTAATAATAAATTTAAATAGTGTTTTCATTTAAATATTATAATTTTTGTTGTTGTTATTTTTGTGTATTTTTAGTTGCTTGTCAATATGAAATTGATTAGTATTCTGCTGTTTTACTGATTTTCCTTAACTTTTTTATGCCCATTTTTATTTATTTACTTTTTTATATGCTTACTAACTGCCTGCACTGTACTGCTAACTATGCTTTCTGCTAATAATTAAATTAATCATAACATTCAAAATCAAATTCACACTTTGCTTTGCTCTGTTTCTTGTTTTGTTGTTACCCATTTAACAACTTAACGAAGTTATTTCATTTTCAAATTAAGTTTTAATTTTTTTTGCAAATTTTTTTTTTTTTAACTTTTTTCCTTTTTTGCTTTTTACTTTTAATAATTATGTATTATTTATTATATAAGATATAATTAATTTTATGTTAGTATTTTGTTTTAATGTTTTCCATTCTATATTTTCGGGTTTTGCTCTCTGTACTCGTACTATTTTTCTCTATTTATGTATATATTTTTAGCATTATTTATTTTATTTTTAAATGTTTCTCTTTTTATTTTAGCTTTTATATATTTTATGTTTTTTAAATTTAATTATTCTTATTAGAATTAATAGGCTCTCCATTTTCTTCGTTTGCAGCTCGCTAACCCATTGTCGTCGCTGTCTGTTGCGGCTGTGTGCCATTGCCGCCCCCGCCGCCGTTATTATTGCTGCCACCACTGCCGCTGCCATTGCCGCCACTGGCGCCACCGGTGCTTGAAATCGAAGTGGCATCACCCGCGCCGGTTGCTGACGCACCGCTCGCAGACGCTTGCTGTTGGGTACTGCCATTGCTGCTGTTGGCTGCATCGCCCCCGCTCGCTTGCGCTGCTTGTGCCGCTGAAGGCGCGCCGCTGCTTGCTGCAGCAGCTGAGGCGCTGGACGATGGGTTGGCCACTGTTGCATTGCCGCCGCCACTGCTGGTTGTAGCCGATGCGCTCGATTGTGTGCCTGCACGCAGCATGCGTATTCCGCCAAATCAGTTGAACAAATGATGCGTGGGGTATGTATGTGTGCACGGTGGTGGAATCACATGTGGAGTTGTTGGTGAAATGCAGGAGGGGTAGGAGAAGAACAATAATAACGTACATTTGATTAGTATATTTGGCAATTCTTAGCCTGCAAAGCAGGTGACAGTGAGAGAAAGAACGAAAATGGCGTATCTTTTCGATAAATTAAAATTGACATTTCGTTAATTGTTAATTTTGTAATGCATATTAAATATGTATATTAATGTATTTGACATTATGTTAAAAAGAGCGCAATTCTTATTATAAATTTGTGTGTGTGACAACAACAAAATTTTTTAATAATTTGCATGCGACACTAAAATAGCAGCCAACTATTGGCGCTTGGCAGCCATTGTTATTGTTTTCTTAAATAATGTTACGTGTTAAAAGTGAAGAGTTTAATAAATTATTAATGTTCTTTAGAGTTTGCTTTAAAATATTGATATAATTTTGATATACACAAAGCAATTTACCAAAAAAAATTCTTCGCAGTAGAAAATACTGCTAAAACGCTAACAATGTGGCACCAATACACTACAGAATGGTAGAAAAATTTATTATTTGGGAAATGTATTTAGCATTTTTAGGCGTTTTTTCCAAAATGTATATATTTTTTTTTTAATAAATGTATAATTTTTTTTTAATGATACTTTTTTATTCAAAAATTATATTCCACAGTGATGTATAAAATATTTTCAAAATAACAAAATATTTATTATTTTTCAAAAATTTCAATATATACTTCGTTTTTCTTATATGTTGGAGAATACGACAATAAAAATATCGGCATGTCTTTGGTGTAGCCACAATTTATTTATTTTACTGTTAACTTTAAGTTTTAAGTAATTTCTGCAGTTTAAGAAACTAGTATTTAAGAAAATTAT